TAATGGTCTGGGGATGTTTTTTCTGGTAACGGTCTAGGTCCAATACATTGAATTGATGGAATAATGGACCGTTTCATGTATAAAAATATCCTGAAAGATGTTACGATACCTCATGCTGAATGGAATATGTCAATAAAATGGGTTTTTCAGCAAGACAACGATCCGAAACACACTGCAAATGTAGTCAAGCAGTCGTTTCAAGACAACCATCTATCGGTGATATATTGGTTGCCTCAATCTCCGGATCTCAACCCTATCGAGAATCTGTGGGAGATCGTCAACCGCAGAATTAATCGTGAAGGTGTTCGTAATAAAGATCAACTGTTTGAACAAATCCAAAAGGCCTGGGCAGCGATTCTACAAAGTTTCATTGATCACCTGATTGAATCTATGCCTCAAAGATGCAAGGCTGTGATCGATAACAAAGAATTTGCCACGAAATTTTGAGAGCGAAATACAGCTCGGTCAACATTTTGTGGAGTTGCACTTGTTTTGTCCAGAAGGAAATCAACTTTTTTTAATACTTTTGATTAATTTATTAATTTTCGTGTACAAATAATGAACTTTGGGATGAATAAAACTTGAAGAACGTTGTCTCTAAACAGTTACATAGTTATTTCTCTAAATTGAAAAAATGCAGCACTTTTATATAACTAAATTAGCATTATTTGGTTGCACTTGTTTTGTCTGATACTGTATAGTTTTTCGTCAACTAACCTTTTTCAAAATAATCTAAGTCCACCTAACATTATCAAAATAAGCTTAGTCAATAATTTAATCAGGCTTATTTCATCATCCTACATTTACAATTCATTTTTTTCTATGCGCATACTTTATTTGTATAACTACTTTAAAGTTTACACAGTGTAGTGAAACAAATAACGCTGTGTAATCATATATCACACTGAATTTTTTTTAGTTATGTCAATTGCGTAGTACTTTATGAAAGAGCTTATGAAGGAGATGTATCATTCGATAACACGATTGCTAAGGGCGTTGCTAAGAATAAGATGTATGAACACTATTAAAATAAATTGACAAACTTCAAAAATGTTTGATTTATGTAAAGTGACAATGACAAATCTGGATTTTATGATAAATTTTAGTCTGAAATAAGAAAATAACAACACAATATTATAATATAAAGTTTTTTTAACTGCATAGAAGTAACTTAATAATTTAGGCAACAACTTTGTGATAAAATATGTAATAATATATCTGTGAAAGTGCATGAAAACATAAAAGTTCGCAAGATTTAAGCAAGCATTTCGTGTTTATGTAAAGCGCATAAAGGCGAAAGAAATTTGCAAACAATGGATTCGAACTTTTGAAGTATTGTATAGTAAGTTTTAAGCAAAAGATAATAATATAAATAATATATCCTTGAAATAAAATTAATAATATATTACATAGAAATATGTATTAATAATATAATATAAATGAAATACCTTTAAATAAGATTTAAAAATTTATGCATTTATTCAATGTAATCCATATTGTGTTCTATGTAATCCACATTGAACAAATGCATAAAATTTTAAATCTTATTTAAAGATATTTCATATGTATCATTATATGATATCAATAAGATAAATATATCATGTGTATTATAAACATATAATATTTATGCAAACTTAGCATCTAATTCTGTAGAGTTCATTAGATGCATTAAGATACATATAAAGTAGAAAACTAGGACCCTTGAAGGGAACAGATAATTGTCCGATATAGCGAATGACTTAAATAAACAAATTTATGTCAGACTTTTTGGACAGGTCTTCTTTTTCTTTAAGTAAATTGTGATCAATTTAAGATTCTCAATTTCAATAATCAATAATTATCAAAAACTTATGCTAACTTAACTTCCAATACAAACTTTCTATCAATTCTCTAACCCGCTTATCAAATAATTTTGAGTCCATCTTTTTGTGCACGGTGACGACATGGAGTGTTTTAACTTGTTGTTATAAAACAGAGGCGTCGCTAATAATTGAGACTAAATATGCGCTATGATTTTTAGCGTCTTTTTTTGGAATAATTTTACAAAATATTTAATTTAACAAAATAAATAATTATACAAAATATAAATAATATATACCATCATTTATCCGACATTTTTGCTCTAACATTTTATAATCCATAAGGTTAATTTTTGGAAAATGTAAATGCGTTTTATGTTACTAAAAACATTTCATTTGTTTGAAAATATTTAGTTGGTATGAAAGCTTTGTTTAATTTAAACTTATGTAAAAAAACTTTGACGTCAAAAATATTTTTGGAAAAATGCAATGTAATAAAATAAATACTGTAAAGTGAAAAGAATTTTCTATTTTATATAGCTCGGAATTTTTAGCTTCATTTATACATCGAATTAGAGATTGTGGCGACCGCTTCTTCATTCAATAAAATTTTACTAATCTCTTAAGGATTTAAATTTGAAGATAAAGGTTTATACAGTGGTTATTGAATTTTTAGATTAATTCTTACACAGGAGTTATATAAGTGTTAATGAATGTTTAAATTAATTTTTAAACAAAATAGTAAATTATATTAATTACAATACCTTAAAATATATTAATTACAATACTTTACAAAGTTTTTTTTTTTTTTTTGGTTTGATATTCGAGTTGAAATTTTGACGTATAATCAAATAAAGTATACTAATGTATTCAAATAAATATATACTTACTTACGTATTAGTTACCTCACGTTTGGCTATGGGGTTGTTCACAAATTACGTCACGCAATTTTTGAGCATTTAAGATCCCCTCCCTCTTTGACACAACATCATAACTCTTTAGAAACAAGTTCCGTAATTAATATCACAAAAATATTACCCCTCTTCCCCTCCCCCCCATGAAACGTCCGTCTATGTGTTAGCTGTGACAAGACCAGTTAGCTGAACCTTACGATTCTTGAATGTCGTAACGAAACAATGTTGTCAGCAAAATTGTTTTTCTCTAAGGAGCCAATATTTTATTGGTAACATCTTAAAGCAAAAGAAAAAAAAGCAATTTAAAAATCAACTTTATTTAATTTTGCTTTTGTTTTAATAGTTATATTTTAGGGTTTTATTTGCTCGCATTGCGTGGTAATAATCTTTTTCGATTGAACTTCAAGTAAACTAAAACAAAATGAATTGATTGATGGTGCAGTGATGAATGGTTCCATGCATTATTTTTATTTCACAAAGAGCTTTTGTACAAATAATTTTAAAGGTATTTTTTATTAAAGAACTATTCAATAATATGTAAATATCAATGTACGATAAATTTATTTATACATCCTACAACTTTTAAAGTCTTTTTTTTATTCTATTCTGGTTATTATTGTTTATTTTTTTTTTTTTTTTACAGTTCATTCGCTTTTTTAAAATTTACATTTTTTTTTTTGGGTCATCTTTTTTAAATTATTATTATTACCTGTGAAAAAGTTTATTTTAATTATATTTGACGCAAAGATATTTAATTAGTTTTCGAACATTTGTAGTTCTGAATTTTGTTTTTTAAATAATTTTTTAATATTTTAAAGTTTTATTGTATCATTGTACACTTACGTTTAACTCAATATAAATATTGTAATTTTAATAAATTATTTTGCCAAAGGGACTCCAAAAAACAATACGACTTTGCAATTGTTCTGACTTCGCAAGGGTATGATTTAAGCAGATGGTTTTATATTAAGTTCCCAGCCGACATTTAATTCTAAAAAGACGTCTTATAAACGTTCAAAAGATGTTCTGAACGTTATTTGAACGCTTAAAAGACGTCTTTTTAGGACCAAACGCCGGCTGGGTTAAGAGGGAAAGTTCAAAGAGAGTTAAAAATCCATCCAACTTAAAAGTAAAGGTCCTACTAATCCAAGGTTCTAGTGTGATTGTACTGTAATTCTATCTTTATGAAATATTTCCCGTTGTTTTATGCTACTTTTTATATTTAGTACTATTGATATATTTGGGGTGGTTCTTCTATTTATTTATTTAAACAGAGTAAAAAAAAAAAAAAATTGCGGCCCTAAGGGGACTATTATTAACTATAAAGTTTGTTGTCGTTTGACTAGTTTTTTAATGAGTTCTTATCCTTTTTTTTTTAATTTAAAATTAATCAAAACACTTCAATATCTACCTTTCTAACTTTTAACTAACCAACACTCTGGAATTTTTATTTTAGGTGGCTTATTCTGATTTATACACATTGTTTTTTTTATTTCAAGTTTCTCTAAACCGTTATCTTGTATTTTGACTTTTTACTCTGTTATTTTGTCATTTTCATAGTAACACCAAACTATGATTGTGTTTACCTGCAGCCTTGTTGGTAGTGAGTTTGGGTAAAAAAAGAGGGGAAGTGTATTTTTCCATTGAGTTTTAGATTTTTTTTATAAAATATAAAGTTTCTGCGGCTAATAAAATTTGAAAATATTAATATATTTTGTTATATAGCAAAATTTATTTTTTAAAAAATCTCTTTTTTTAACTACTAGCCAATCATGCTGTTTATGCTGATTACGTAATTTGGCTTCTTTTTTATCATCTGCTAGTTCTCTATAATTTATTTTACCTTTATATATGAAAATGAAAGAGTCACGTGAGAAAATTAAGTCCATCTGGGCTTAATAGTTCTTCATTTTATTTCTGAAATAAGTTTTAATATATTGAATGATTTATTCAGTTATTTAAGAATAAAAACGCGTTGTGGGTTTTTAAAAGCTTCTTGACAATTTGTCCTCGTAACTTCTGGACGATTAGGTTTGTTTCTTTATTTCAAGCGGAGTTTACGACAACGAATGCAAATGATTTTTTTTCCCTTAAATCATTATTCTTTTACGATTGCGAACTAATCTTAAACTTTTTTCAAAAGACTATTAGCTCAAACATCGAACATATGTAAACTAAGTATGAATAAGTAAGTAAAATGTTTTTTAAAGTTTTTAAACTTTTGAAAATTTTTTAACGAAATTACTTTTTTAAAACATGAAAGAAAAGAAAATCAAGAAAGATTAAATAATTTTGAGCATAAACTTAAAAGGATAAAAACATAAATAAACCAATAGCGATTGCTTTAACTAATCGTAACTCGTACCAGGTTTCTAGCAAGTAACAGGTTGGACCACGTGCTTTAGAACACAAAAGGTAATCTCAGCAATGTTGAAAAACAACTAATAAAATAATTTTTTACTGCTGTATTAACGACGTTTATTGTTTTTTAAAAAGCTATTCACTTTAGAGGCAATAAAACAAAAACGATTTTAATTGAGCGGAACTAATTGAATAAATCGTTTGATAACAGTTTGTGGAGGTGACGTTGTTTAAAAACAATAGACATTTTAAAGTCACTTTAGTGCAAAAAATCATTAGAATATTAATTAAAAGATATCGAGATAAATTTTTTTAGTTTTAAGAGATTTAGTTTAACGTTTTTTTTACAAGCGAAATTCATAAATAAGTGGTTTTGTTTCGTGTAAAATATAGATATTTTGGTATGGCTGAAGACGATCTTATTGCTGCGGATGCTAAAAATTTTTTATACTTTGTGAAAGGTAATTGTTTTCATTTTATTTATGCTGAATTTTTTTTTGCGTGTTAAGTTTGATCTGTTTTTGACTCTTCGTTGTACAAACTTATCTATTCAGCGTTCTTATCTCAAAAATTATATTAGGCTTTTTTTTATTAATTTGTTTTTTGTTTTTACGAGCTTTGTTATTATAATTTTTATAGTTTACAAGGATACATGTATATTTATATTATAGTTAAACTTATTTATAAAAAAAATAATATAAAATATTTGACATCCTAAAGCGTTGTTAAGTTATTTGTTAAGTTCGAGTTTTAACTTTAAAAAACGCTTATTTTTTAAAATCTGATTTCTCTTATTTCTTTTGTTGTGATTTCCCATAAAACATTTGATGCGATTTCTCATTCACTATTTTCCAGCTTTGTTTTAAAAACTTTATTTATTAATATTATCATTATTATTAGTAGTAATCTTCGCCATCAGTTTTCAAGTTTATACAAAAGGTTTATTGTTTTCTTTTTAAAAAAATGGTTTTTAGATGAGAAGTTATAAATAATGGAATAATGCGGATTATATTTTCTTTGTTTTTCTGAATTTTTAGAACTTTCCGTAAATCTCCCGCCTGACGTGCGTCACGTAAAACCGCAGCCGTATTATGATAGCGATACAGAAAGTTCCGACTCAGGCGTTATTCTTAATAAAGAGATAGGAACCACCGCAGAAACTCGTCGTTTTGAATGTCCGACGTGTAACAAGTATTTTAAACGAAGGTCTAGTTTATCGACACATAAGTTGATTCATTTAAATGTAAAACCATTTACATGTACTGTTTGTTCAAAAGATTTTCTACGACGATCGGATCTAAAAAAACACTCTCTTATGCACAGCGGCAAGAAGCCACACGAGTGCCCAGAATGCAAAAAAGTATTTTCTCAATCTTCAAATATGCTTACTCATATGCGTCGCCATTCCGGTGTACGACCTTTCTCTTGTAACATTTGCGGAAATGCATTTTATAGAAAAGTTGATGTCAGGCGCCATCAAATCCGTCATCAAAAAAACAATACTTATGTCATCGGGGATGAAATAAACGAGTTTTCGTCTGAAGGTTGTATATAATTTTGTTCAGCTTATTTTCTTTTGTAAGAATCGTTACTCATAGAAATTTTCAATTTAAAAAGGCTGGCTATTCTTAAGAATAAGTTTTATGAAAATTCATTTTATATGACCTGCAAAAACAGATTGATTTTCTTTTTTAGAAAAAATTAAAACAGTTGTTACATAATAGTTATATGTTAATAACAAAATTTGATATTTTATACTGTTTATTAAATAAAATATTTATTTAGCGAAACTTCCTGCATATTTATACAAATTTTTATTTTAGTTCTAATAATTCCGCACAGATTGCAGTATTAGAAGGAGTGTGATTTTTGCTAAACATTGCTTTTAAATGTTGCATGAGTTAGCGCTTTATGTCCCACAATTTATGTAAAAATGAAAAAAAATAAAAAATTAAAAGGTAAAAAAAAACTTATATAAACTATTTTATTTTGTTAAATACTATACGAGCGTTTGATGTGTGAAGTCAAGTCAACTGAGGTGTGTGTGTGTGTGTGTGTGTGTGTGTGTGTACACAAACAAAATAAAACGTTGAACTAGTTTCTGAATCATTAGAAGTGAATAAAATCGAACACTGACTTTGAGCATCTTTTCTACCATCATCTACAATTAATAAGAAAACAAATTTACATTGAAAAAAAAAAAGAAGCTGAAAGTGTTGACATTTATTCTTCTTTATTAGACTTTATCTTGTATTTTAAACAAACTTGAAATGTTCAAGGGAAATAAAAGTTGAATTTGTTTGCTTTCACTTTAGTCAAAAACATTTCGTTCCATTTAATGTTTTATTGTTGTTACATAGGTTGAAAAAAAAGTTTATTAAGTTACATTTAATGTTTTATTGTTGTTAAATTTTAAAAAAGGTTGAAAAATATTTGAAAAAAAAATTATTTATCAATTTAATAATCATTTAAAAAATATTTCTCAAAAAGCAATCAAATTAGGTTTAAACAGTTAAAATTTTTCGAGTCGATAGTCGTAGAGAAAAAATCCATTTGTAGTGATGCCAGGTGTTTTTCTTGGTCTAACAAATAAAAGTTTTATTACTATCACGTTATCATTTTTACATTAATTTTAAAAAAATTCATAAACTCCTCTCTTTCTTATCCTTTGAATAAAATGTAGTTTAAGCAATAGACTGTGTGTGAACACATTTAGCAGATTGTAAAATAGCTGGAGTAACAATGCTTAAATCATCTTGTGACTACGAATGTCAGAAGTATACAAACTTTTTCTGTCGAAAGAATTCTAATAACTTGGATAAAAGGTTTTAGTCATTTTGATTTTAAGGTTAGTTTATTTGTTAAGGTTATTTTTTAATTTATTTATTACCACTTTTGGACTTTCATTTTTAAATGTAATTTGAACATTAGTAATTCACAAAAACTTGAGTCCCGAACAAGATAGTAAGTGTCTATCTGATCTTATTTCAAAACATTTTTCAGATCTTTTTGCTTATCAAAGAATATACAATCTGTAATCTTTGTTTCACAGCTTTCCTATTTTTTTCCCCATGTTTTCTAGTTTAATGCAATCAATTAACTTTTTATTTTCTTATTTATTATTTTATATATATGTATATGTATATATATATATATATATATATATATATATATATATATATATATATATATATATATATATATATATATATATATTTATATATTAACCAAGATTTCGCTTCGTTGATAAACGAGGAAGAGTTTAATAATCTTGTTTTGCTTTTGTTTAAAGTTGGCTGTTTAATTTTTACAAGATACTCTAATGATCCATATGGAGGGGTACCTATGGTAGAAACAACTGGTTGCATTAAATAATTCTTTTCTGGTTTGTGAGCTTTTATGACTCCATATAAACATGGAGGGACGCAGTCAGATGGGTATATTTGAAAATAAGTCTCGTTATCTAACTTTTTTTGTTTTCGTAATTTGCGTAATAATTTCTGGAATTTAGTCATAAAGGTTTGAGTCGAGTCATAGTTGATAGTTACTGAATGTTTGATTTCCTCTTTTTATTTAGAAAATGCATCCACCTCATTTAATAGTACTAATCCTGTTGCTTTATCAAATGGATAAACTGCTAAACCATTCATTTTTTTCCTCAAATTATTTAAAGATAATCTTTGTTCTTTAGTTAAATTATCGGGTAATCTAGGTTTTCTGTTTTTAATAAGAATTTTACTCACGTTTTGTTGAATCTTTTCTGCATCAGATTTTTTTTTAATCTTTTTTCTAAACGTAAAGTAAAAGTCTCGATTGGGGTTAAAATCTCCATATAAGGTAACTTTCTAAACGACGGTACAAGATTTTAGTCCAAGATTCAGGAGATTTGTTGTGAGGGTGTCTAACTGAGTTTGCGATAAATTTTTTGCAAAGCATCCTTATTTGACATAAATATAAACATATAAATGTTTGGAATTTGCTCTAAGTCTGAAAGTTAGCTCAAACATCAAAAAATGTTCCGCTCCTGTTATGAGTTTTACGTTTGTTTGATTGTTTTAAGTAGCAGTAAATGTTTTAATGATGTTAAAATTGAATGTTAACACCTTTAAAACATTTACTTGTAACCATTAAATCATTTACTATTAGGGAATAAATCCTCCAATTGTTATTCTTAACTTGCCTATTAACATCTCCCTCCCTCGTATATTAATTTTGACTTGTTAACAACAAAAAAACTTCATTTCAAAACTATAAATTTAAGCTGGCCTTTAAAATTAGAAAACATAATAAAACTCACTTAATAAGATATTTTAAAATTAGAAAACATATATTTTTTTAAAATTCACTTTAAAATTAGAAAACATAATAAAAACTCACTTAATAAGATATTTTTTAGTGTAATTAGGCTTTTAAAATTGTTAACCTTAAAAATTATCTCGTTATTTAGAAAATGCAAAACATAGCTTATATTCTAAGTTTGGGTCAAATATACTTGTTAGGATAGCATTTTAACTGAAGATAGAGGATTAAACTGGAGATTAACATAAAATGCTAATAAATCAACACAAAAGAAATGAGTGTAGTTAAATTCCATTTTGGCAATCATAGAAGGTTTAAAACTGTTTTGGTCTGACCAATTATCACCTCATCATGTTAAATTCGTGACAGCATTTAAAATATATAGAATGAATTAACCAAGTTAAAAGCAAGCTTACATTGAGTTCTTTCCAGTTGAATACTTTTGGGTTGATTCAAAACACTAAGTTAAAAATTAAAAATTTAAAACAACTCTTAACGTAAGATCATTAAAATCTTTTTTAGTCTTTTGACTAAAAAAGATTTTATTAATCTTACGTTATAAGCCTTCATATTTAATATGAATGTCCAGGATCGAAGATTTGTTCCGTCTACCTATGAATAAATAAAAAGTAACAAAAATATTGGCTCAGTTGGATCAAAAGCTATAAAAGCTTTGTTAAAACCGTCAAAATTAACTTTAGATAAAGATCTTTTTCAATCTGTCAGAGTGAACATATTCATTTACATTTATAAATATCAAAAAAATATGTAAAAATTTCAGAGCAAATTCCCTGAATCGAGGTGATTAGGCCGAAAACAATTAAGGCTTTGTAAAAATAATAAAAATTAACTTTAGCTCAAGAAAGAGCGCTTTTTCATTTTGTCAGAGTAAACAAGTTTATACACATTTATAAAAGCCCAAAATATATGTAAAAATTCCAGTGCTTGTTTGTCCGATTTGAGGTAATTGAGTAAAAGGTAATGAAGTTTCTGTAAAAACCAAAAAAAGAAACTTTAGGTAAAGAACAAGAGCTTTTTTTTATATTGTACGAGTAAACAAATTCATATAAATCTATAAAAGTTCAAATTTTCCGGAAAGAAATGTCTTTGTAAACCATAGAAATGCTATGAAACACTCCATGTACTTTCTTCTTGGGCATTTTCAGATTAAAAACTCGAGAGAGACTTAGTAGTTTTTCTTTTAAATATGAAATGTGGTGAGTTACCCATTGCATTGACACAAGCTATTACTCTGATTGTTTCCCGGATACCTGATTGACGACATTGTGGTTACTTAACTCTTTTTTTAGCAACTATTTTCCAGGTTAATAATCAGGCAGCATCCCAGACTCATCCATATTACAAATGTTTTAGGTTGTTTTTCGTTAACACATTTTTAAAAATATAAAAATATTTCGACAATTTACAAACATTCATACACTGATGTCTAATAGCTGCTGCACCTTCTGGTTGACATCGAGTTAAATCTTTGTGTCTTTTGCAGATCCAACACCACCATGTTTCTCTAGGAGTTCCATTCTTATATGCTTTTTATGTTTTAAAACAAAATTTCAGCATATTTAGAAATTGCAATCGACCAAATATCGATTCCTAAAGCTACACGATTATATGCAAAATTAATTAATCTCTTTTTTTCTTCTTTATCTAAAATAGTTGGATATCCAGGTTTGGCTCCCATTTCTGTTACGTCAGAAAGTCAAACTTGTAACGAACATCTTAGAATGTCAAAAACATTACATACTGTTTGCTGTGAAACTCCATTTTTTAACAGCTTTAATTGCTGATATCATCACTTCATCATTCCATAAACGGTGTTTTCTGCTTTTGCTTCTCTCTTTTTCAATTTTCTATTTTTGTTTTAATTATTTTTTCCTTTCTAAAGTAAAGTGCAAAAAAGCACTATGAAAATTCAATTATAAAATGGTTATGACTGTCTAAAAATAAATCGCGAGGTTAGAATTATTTTGTTCTATCTCCACTTTTTGAAAAAAATGAGTTATTAATTGTGTCATGTACCTAAAAATATTGTTTTTCTACTATATTAAAACCTAAGTTAAAATCAAAAAAGTTATATAACATAAGTAATAAAAATCTTTTTATATGCCGTCTCCTAAAGTTTTTATTTTTTAAATCGTTTTATCTCGAAACAAAAAAATGTGGAGATAGAACAAAATAATTCTAACCTCGCAAAATGTCTATGCTTCTATGATTATATCACATACATGTATAAAGTAATTTAAGTTGGTCATTCTCTTTCTCTCTCTGTATATATATATATATATATATATATATATATATATATATATATATATATATTTTTTTTTTTTTTTTTTTTTTTTTTTTTTTTTTTTACATTTATTTTGCTGTTTAACAAATATAATCAACACATATATATA